AGATATATATATATATTTACTTCAACATCAACATTAGTCAAATGCTCCATGCCAGAATGCAAATGAACCATTCCAGGAAGATGGCCGAGATTACGAAAGTCTCTTCCTATCTTGAGGTCCATCTTGTCATCATGCATGTCAACGTGATTATTTTGATCCCTATCTACATCTCTCTGCAAAAAAACAAATTCAATATTTAATGAAATCAATGTTACAAAAAAAGTTATCAGCTCCGGATTAATATTTACCATGGCTGGATGATGTCCTATATTATGAAAATTCCTTCCTAATTTCTCAGACTTGTCGTCGTGCAAGTTCTCGATGTGATCAGCCGGGTCGATGTCCATGTCTCTCTGCAACACGACAAGAATTTTAAAACTGGCTTTTATAAAGAAATTATTACTTCTCTCCCCTCCCCTCCCCCCATTAATCTATTTCCATAATAATTCCTTAATCTATTTAATATATATATATATATAATAATGATAAAAGAAATAACAACCGGCTTATTGGTTTATTGATTACAAATAAATGATTATCATAGAAATAATTTGAAAATCATTAATATTATTAATTTTTAATTATCTTCAGAAGACTACTTCAGAGTACTAACTCAATGCCTCTCAGCGTTTCTCATGGAATAATAATTATCGTGAAAATAATAAACAATTTGTATCGTAATTATATTAATTATTAATTTCTCGATAAACGCCAATTGTTATTTTCTCATACACGCCGCGTAATCATTGAATGGGAAATGTTATGACAAGCAATGAACCTCTGCATCGGCATCCGGCGTATGATCGCGATGGTGGGAGAGGCTGCAGAAAGCCATTCCAACTTTGCAGTCCGGTTCCTTCTCACTCAGATTATCGTGATCGCGTTGCTCCCTATGGTCCCTGTCCATTTCTCTCTGTAAAACGGATCGGCGCCTCCGTTAGACGAGCGCGTAGAACAGCGTAGAACGTATCTCGGATATTTCCGCGCTGATCGCACAATAATAGACGGCGCGTTACCGTTCCGAGAGAGCGCTATTACGAACCGAGAGCGTGTACCGATGGGGCTCTCTTTTTCAATGCGTGTTAAACTAGCATTAATAATTTTCAGCCGGATATTGCGAACCTCAAACGCCGATTCCAGCGCGATTCGAACGCTCGTGAAACGTGGTGCACCGCAGCGTTGTAACGTATTACAGCCATGTCGAATTAAAGGTTGAGAATTGAATATCGCATGAAAGAAATCGGCGATCTTTGACATCTTACAGTAGATTCTGAATACTGTTTTCGCCGAGACGCAATTTAAAACGGCCCGATCAATATTATTGTACAATAATTGATATTACATAATATTTTTATTAATCATCTCGGGCCAATATTGAGTCTCCAAACTATTTGTTTTGAATTGTTTAAAGAGGGCATCAATAAAACGTATTGCATAATTAAAAAGATAATAGAAGAAAGATAATAGAAACAGAGAATAGATAGAGAAGATAAGGATAGATAAGGAAATAGATTTCAATCTATCAGAAATGTATTCTGGTATACACTGTTTTCTTCAGCTGAACTAGTGTACACTTTTAAAGTAAATTATTAAATATCTATATGTTTGATATTTGGCGAAAGAGAGAAAGTTCTAATGCAAAGTGCAGGAAAAAAACAGATTGATAAACTGACTTGATTTCTGATACGTTAAAACTTATAATATTTCTTGTTTCTATTGCCTGCTTTTCACTTGTGTCTCAGCTCAGTAGTGATAATTTTTAACGAAATAAGATTTGAATCCAAATTCGAGAAGTTTAATTGTAATCTTGATTTCATTAAAGGAATGTAAAGGATATTAAAAAAAAAATCACCGAACTCTGAAAAAAGCTAAACTCAAACTTCGCAAATTGGATTCAAATTTTATTTTGTTTAGAATTGTACCACTTTATCCCACTGTACAAAATAATTGAGGGAATGGAGGAATAAAGACTTAATTACAAAATCTTAATTTTAATAAAAATTAAAATAACTTGCTACTTTTTTATTATACACAAATAGATACAATATCAAATGAATTTATGTAATGTCTTTAAGAAGTTATATGTTACTTTTCTATTACGATCAATACTATATAAAAAAAGCTAATCTCCGAAAAAAGGCCTAAGTACAATACAATTGTGTCTTTATTCCGCTCATCCCCTCAATTGTACATTAATATTAAACGTCTACAAATATGAGTAAAAAATAACTTTAATTTATGTATGTAGTTTTGAAAAAATAACATTATACTATATATGTTTAAATATGTAAATCCTTTTTTGTAGACAACACAGTATGCTATTTTTACACGGAAAACTAATCATTCATATATATA